GAGCGCTCCGCCGCCGCGGCTTCCCGTGGCGCGTCCGGCCGGCTCCCCGGCCCGCGCTGGGCTGACGTGTCCGTAGCGTCCTCGCTGGGGTGCGCCTTCATTCATTGCCGACCCCCGCTTCCCGCGCGTCTGCTCCGTTGCCGCGTCTTTTCCTCTGACCGTCGGCCTCGCTTATCAGCACCTGATCGCTGTGTGTCCCCTGGGCTCGATTTCAGCAAACTCCGGTGTTCTTCCAGTTGTCCGCCTGCGCTCCCGGGCGGACCGAAGGGGCCCTGTGGGACGGCTCTTACTTCTGTCCTCTTTCTCTCCTTTCAGTTTGTGGTGCCCGTTTTGTGTTGGTTGAAAGCATCCTACGTGCTGGAAAAAGTCTACTTAGGGCTTCATTTTTTTTTTTTAGATAGTAGATTTATTCATTCCCACTTGGATAAAGATAACTTGGGTGACAAAATATTAAAAAAAAAAAAAAGTGGAAGCTTGGCTTTCCTTGTATTATCATGAACTTCAATTTTCTGATGTGTGAAATGAATTAATTTTAAGCGATCACTAGGATTCCTTTCCATCCTGCAAGTTTAAGCAGTCTGTGTGGCTTGAGTGATAATGATCGGTGTTCCCAGGAGGCGTTTGGCAAAGAAAAATGAAGCGATTGGCTATTTAGTGGGTAGCGTCACTTTAAATGACAGTGTCAAAAGATTTTTAAAAACTGGGTTTTGAAAGTGACTTGTAATTTACGAGTGTACTATTTTAGTCCTCGTTAACTTGTAAGAACTCAGAGACGTGAAGAAGGCTGACAGTGTGTGGTGGTTAACATACACCGCTTTTTCCGGGCTTTGCACATGGAGCCCTTCCTGCATTTTTTTTTTGCTGCTGAATTGCCACATCATCGTTTCTTTCTGAGGAGTGGTGGAAGAGTTGCTAGAACTTTGGAATGTTTCTGAGGGTCTCTCCTAAAACCGATGTAATGTTTAGGGTGCTTTTGCTTATAAAAGTATGATTTATAATTTCTTGGCATTACAGTTATATTTCACGTTACGATATTAAAAAAGTGTCCTAAAATGTTTGGAGCCATATGTAGAAGTAGTAGATTCTTCTTTGCTGTCAGCCTTGAAGTTACCAGTATAGTTTTACTAAACAGAATGTCTTTCCTGCAGGCTGGTTTCTACCAGGGTTGTGGTGCAGATATTTGTCTCTTGGAATTACATGATACCAAATTCTAACCCTTCTAACCATCTCAGGTAGTCAGTTCTGATAACAAACAGTGTTTCTTGCCTAGATACTGAGATACTATTTTCTTTTAGACCTGAGGGTTTTTGTTAGGTTTTATTTTACATGGTTAATGATAGGAGTTACATTTAGGATCTTCTTACTTTTGCAAAATATTGTCTTACTTTGCTTAACCAAAATTGTTTAAATTTCTTTATTTGGGTTTTAGGGTATCTTTAATTTTTGCAGTTCATATTTTCAGCTGTCGGATTATTTTAAAAATTACACCACCTTTCCCATTAAAATTAACATGCCTTTGTGTTGTGTTTTCCTTTGTTTTTGTTTTTGTTTTTGTTTCTAAACAGGGTCTCAATATCTAGACTGGGCTGGTCTTGAGCTCATTATGTAGCCCATGGCCTTGAACTTAGGGCGATCCTCCTGCTTCAGCCTCTCAAGTGCTGGGAGGTGTGCACCACCACACCTGGCTAACATGCCTTTGTTAAGACTTACTAGTAAAATGAAAGATATAAATGTTCTTAGATGTATTTTAATTTGGCATCATTCAGTGTGCTCCAGGGGAGCATATTCTCTACTTTAAAAATTGGTATTCCAGAGGAAGTTCACTTATTTTATATTTTATGGTTTAGGCTCATTAGCTGTGGCTCAGGATCTTACAGAGGATGAAGAGACAGTGGAAGATTCAATAATTGAAGATGAAGATGAGGAAGCTGAGGTGGAAGAAGATGAACCCACAGATTTGGTTAGTGTTTTATATACTTGATGCATCTATAATGTGTATGTACATCTAAAAGTTTTATTCTTTTATGGACAGATTGGACATTAATTTCTTGTGTGGTTTGTTATGGTCAAAGTGGATTAAAATTAGAGAATTGGAGGATGGAGCGTAAACATTTTCTGGAGTAGAGGAGGCATAGTGTGCACAAAGAGCAATTCAAGCTCTTATGGATGTGGGTCATAGATATGGGGCTTGGGTGCCATCCTCTGGCTTCTCCTTTTTCCCACTTCCTGCCTTGCTTGCTGTCATCCAAAGCATTCACTGAGGCGGGAACCACTGCCCAGTGCCAGCACTCGTCTGGGTGCCAGCGTAAACAGATGAGATCTTTGCTCCTTTGGAGCTCGTGTTTTTGGGGCAGTGTACATGTGTCTTGGTGGCAGGGTGAGGAGCAGACAAAAAATAAAATAGTCCAGTGAAGAATAAGGGGGTTAGAGATGATCTCTTAGAGGTCAGCAGACTGAGTTTTTTACCATGTAATTATAGTAAGGCAGGAGGAGTATGGGGCTGAAATCCTGGTTGCTGCAACATACATCCAGCTGATTTCATTTCCTCTCTGTCATGACTCGTCTACACAGACTTCTTCCCTTTCTATATGCTGTATTTGAACGTAGGGCCTTTTGAGATTCTAGATTTTGTCAGTTCCCTCAAGATAAAGCCACTAGTTCAGAGTGACTATTAGAATTTAGGTTTAAAGATGATATTTAGGACTTCAAATTTTGGGCATGTACAGAAATTTAGTAATGAATTACACTGTTAGAATCATCTTTCTGAAATTTCTTGGGCCAGGCATTGTGGTGCACATCTGTAATCCCAGCCCTTGGAGGCTGAGGCAGGAGGATGGCTTACATAGTTCAAGGCTAGCTTGAACTGCATAGCGAGACCCTATTTCAAAAAAAAATGACTTGGACTCTCTGACTGGAATGTACTTACTGTGGAGGAAAAGGATAGAGAAGGGAACTGTTAGGTCTGATGTTTTTATGATGATGGTCAGAACTTTTCCCTACCTGAGTCATTTTCCTGACTGTGAGAACCAACACTCAGAGGAGAAAAAAGAGCAACTGTGATTGTGTACTTCCCGCCCAGGCCAGTTAGTACAGAAGCATTGGTACCATCTGCTTTGTTGCTTTTCTCAAACCAGAAAGTGGTTAGAGCAGACTGAAACGGGAGGGCAGGGAAAGTGTGTCCTTTGTATGCGGCTGTCTAAGAAATTTGAGCTCAGTCTCAGCTGCTGCAAAGGTCCCCTCCAGAACTGAAAGAGCTAGACTTTGTCCTGTTTTGTTCGCGAGATTTCTGTATCACTAGCTCAAACTCAGCAGCCAGGATCCCACGGGACTGTACGACATGGCAGGGTCATTTGCCACTGGGCTGCATTCTGGAGTGAAGCAAAGGAAAGGACTTCTTCCAAAGATCTGAGATTCCAGCTGCTGGTTTTGATGCATGTAATTGTTTTTAAAAAATCTCAGTGCTAACTTTTTAAAGTCAGCTTGTGCTTTCCTACTCCAAGCTCTTGTAAAATTTTACCCTGTGAAGCTGTTCTTCACCCTTAGCTGCTTCCTGCTTTCTTATTTTACCATTGCTAGTTGCTTCTTGGAAGAGTAACCGATACAGTTTTTCTGTAATGCTCACTTCTCTTCCGTGGTTGGGTCCCACGGATCTAGTCAAACAGTTCTTACTGTCACCAGCAACCCGACTGCCAGACACCTGGACCGTTTTCCTGGGTTTCTGTGTTTGTGCCTCTTTAACATTTGCTGATTACCCTTCTGGAATCCCTTCAGATCGCTTTCTGTGGAATCCCTCTTCCTTTCTTCCTGTTCCTCCCCTGCCTGCTGCTGCTGCAGTGTGACTGTGTGAGTGTTGGGTGTGCTTCTGGGGGTCAAACCCAGGGGTGCTCTACCACTGTGCTACATCTTCAGCCCTTCTTTATTTTTTTGAGAGAAGGTCTTACTGGGTTGCACAGACAGAGTTCAAACTTGGAGTCCTCCTGCCTTCCCCTCCCTTCTGTATTATCATCCACATTATGTGACTGATTTTCACAGAGAAACTTTGCTGTTCATCAGAATGAAGTTGTAGGCTGCTATCAAAGTACCTGGGAGTAATGTGGGAAATCGTGGCTGCCACCCAGAGCAGCCTGCTCGTCATCTTTTGTTAGCTGCTCTCCTGCTGCAGTTACAGAGTTGCGGGACCGTCCTGTCTGCAAACGTCAATCTGCTGCTTAGCTCTGTTACAGGAAGGAAGTTTATTAACCCCTGCTCCCAAACCTTGCAGTTCAGAGTGTGGTCAGAACTCTAGCAGCATCAGACTTCCCCGATGCTTGTTAGAAATACAGAATTTCAGGCTTCACCCTGACGTGCATCAGATGTGCCAGCTGCCCGGGGATTAGTGTCCACGTCAGAGGCACTGTCCTGGCAGTTTAAGTGGCAAGAGGCAACGAAATTCATACCATTAATACCAGCAAAGCTGTGAAGAAGCAGTGCTTTGTTCCAAATCTAGGGAGTGCTCTACAAATTCAAACGATGATGGCTTTTCTCCGGCAGTTACCTCTCTTTAATTTCGGTTTCATAGGCAGAAGATAAAGAGGAAGAAGATGTATCTGGCGAACCTGAAGCTTCACCAAGTGCAGATACAACTATTCTGTTTGTAAAAGGAGAAGGTAATGCAGAATTACTAGTTTTGATTCAGAGAGAGAAATTTCTAAACGTCAATTTCTAAATGTATAGCTTGCTTTTTGGGGAGAAGCCTTGGTAATGTTTAAGTACCTTTCACATGGTAAGTATTATGCATATCAGTATTTTGGGAGCTTATACGTATGAACCTTTATATGTGTGTAGTATTACTGTCTTTAAGGTGAAAAATAAATGCTGTCTGGTTCAACTAGAAATTAAACTTTCTTTTCAAAGATACTGTTAAACTTTTTAAAAACTTTCAGCAGAGTAATTTTGTTGTATCTTAAGTATTTAAATATTAGTGAAATATTAACTCCTTCCAGATATGCTTTGGTTGGAACCTAGGTTTCATTAAAAGAAAGTACAGGTTGAGTGTCTGGTATCTGAAATGCTTGAGCTCAGAAGTGGTTTAGATGTTAATTTTTTTAAAATTGGAAATATTTGCATATTCACAATGAGATAGCTTGGGGATGGGGCCCAAGTCCGTACACATACTCATTTGTCCCGTGTACACCTTGTCGACCTAACTGGAAGGTAACTTTACACAGTAAGCTCAGGGCGCCTGCGTTTTGACTGCATCCTGTCATTTGAGGTGAGGTATGGAGTTTGCCAATTGCAGTGTCAAGTCAGAACCAGAAAGGTTCAGAATTTGGAGTTTCCGGTTTTCAGTTTAGGAATACTGAGCCTGTGAGTATGATGGCTAATGTTTAGGAGGGTTCTGTGGTAGGTACTGTTCTCAATACTTGGCACATACTACTTAATTCTAGCAAACCGTGTGGAGTAGTTAGTGTTTAGATTGGTCAAGAGAGTTGTACAGGGTTACCCAGTTTGTGCATAGATTGCAGAAACAGGACTCAGATCCAGGTGTCTGCCCCACAGCCTATGCATTGGGGCTGAAACTCAGCTCGGTAGACTACAGTACAGTTTCTGAAGCGTTAATGTTGGAAGTTGTGAATCAGGCCATGTGATAAGTAAGCATAGCCAAATTCTTCATGGCTTCTTAGCCTCACCATAAGTTATTAGACTTACCCCTTTGTTGTATCTTTTAAAAATTAAACCCAGAGATGTTACTTGTGCAAATAAATGAGACTACAGAAAAAATGTAAGGGGGTGATACTGTACACTTGTCTGCACAGGTAACGTACAGTGTTGTTTAAAATGAAAACCAGCATTCTCTGTTGACTTGCATGGGTGACATTACTCCCCGTGTGTGGTGCTCTTGCCTCGGCAGTATGTGTGCAGCTCGCTCTTAGACCACGTAGTTTGGGTGCAGATAGATGCCCCGTGCAGCCCCTCGGTTGGGACACTGGAGTGCAGGCAGACTTGCCCCAGCTCTTCCCCAGCTCCCGCTGGCTGTCACTGTGCAGCCAGAAGGCTCTGCTGAGAGGGCTCTGAAGCCAGCTCCACTCACGGCCAAAGCAGAGCGTTAGAAACCCCCCGGCGAGGTCCGAATTTCACTTTGTACTGTGAATGTGTTCTGATCTTCTTGTATCTGTTTCGTTTCAGATTTCCCAGCAAATAATATTGTGAAGTTCCTGGTAGGCTTTACAAACAAGGGTACAGAAGACTTTATTATCGAGTCCCTAGATGCCTCGTTCCGCTATCCTCAGGACTACCAGTTCTACATCCAGAATTTCACGGCTCTTCCTCTGAACACCATCGTGCCGCCTCAGAGACAGGCCACGTTTGAGTACTCCTTCATTCCCGCCGAGCCCATGGGTGGACGGCCCTTTGGTCTGGTCATCAATTTGAACTACAAGGATTTGAATGTAAGGCCCTCTAACCTTATTTAGCTTAGAGATGGCTGGGGACAATTGATGTGAAGTATTTTTCTATCTGTCTACGTGTATTTTGTGGTTAAAACTGGAGTAGACGAGGGCTACACAGCGAATTGCACATCTTTGTCTTCACGTCCGCCCTCTGGCAGGGGAGATGTTGAAAATAGGAGCAGAGCGGCGGAGGAACACGTGCTCGCTCTGTGCGCAGCTGCGTGCTGTTGCATGCTGGGGGAGTGAGGAGCCAGAACTGAGCGGGGACGACAGTGAGCACCACTTACGTAGACGTTAGTATGTGTTAGGTGTGCGCTTTGTACCCCCTTCTGTTACGCGCCTTTTGCCCGTTTACTGCCTGTGAGAGCTTCTGTGTATCCAGTGACTGAGAGAAATCCACTGACGTTCTGGCTGCTGGGAGCTGACCTATAGGGGCTCGCCGTTGGGTCCGTCTTCCGAGGGGAGCACCCCTAAGCCCTTCCCTTTTCAAGAATTTTCCTTCTGAAGGTGCTCAGGGTCTTCATCATCCAGGTGTTAGCACGGTCAGCTTAGGTCTGAGTTTCCTGTGCTACACCTAAGGTTTTCTTTTTTTTTTTAATGTTACTTTGTAGAGGAGGAAAGGTTTTTCATTTTTCCTACCTTTAAGGCACTGTATTAAGCTTACTCAATTTTACAGTTCAGTAGCTTCAAGAATTGCCTATTTCACCTCGTTTTCAAGTAGTATTAAATTTAATCCAGTTGGTGTACGTGCAGTTCCAGTTCCAGTTCGAGCGTTACTTTCATCAGTGTCCCCTCATTCCTGGGATTGTCAACAGGCGAGCAAGGTTGAGGGAACTTGAAGTAAAACTTCCAGTTACTGTCAGTAGTGAGTGGTAGTGAGAGAGTATGGAGTACAATTATTTCAAGACTATAACAGAAAAAATGTTGGTGTAGCATGTGTTCTGAAGGAACTGGTTTTCCGGCCCATTGTCAGCTTAGAACAAGAATCGACTTTGTGCAGGTCGGACCCCCACCTCCCAGTACCGAGGATGAGCCCAGGGCCTTGACACGGAGCGAGTCCCTGCCGTTTTCCTAGTTTTTTAGACAGAGTCTTGCTAAGTCATTGAGCTTCCCAGGCTGGGCTCAAACTTGGGATGCTCCTGTCTCAGCCTCGCAGAGTGCTGAGACTGCGGGCGTGCACTCAGGCTGGCAGGTCTGCTTCTGCAAAGGATCTGCTGCTGCAGGTTCTCTTGTCCACTTTCATGCTTCCGTCCCTGCTCTGGAGGATGGCAGACCACAGCAGCTGCAGGTGCTGTGTCACAGCAGCCTGTGAGCTTGCTTGCTTTCTAGAGGTTTTACTTCATTTTTACTCTGCTTTCCTGGTTCCGCAACCACCTGCTCCCACCTCCCAAAGGAGGTGGTGGTAGCTTCGCCACAGTTGTTCTATGGGAGAAATCACTTCGGTCACGTGGAGTCACTGGCGTCGGGTAGTGTCATTACGTCTAATTGTTGGATCTTGCTGACCTATGTTCTGAGAAAGTTGTATTAAATCTGCTAAGTAGCAGTTTTAAAAAACCTTGTAAGCATTTATTCTTTCAGTGCTTTTCAGATTTTTGTGGGGTTTTTTTTAGAAATTAAATTAAACTTATTTTTTAAACAGGGCAATGTATTCCAGGACGCTGTTTTCAATCAGACTGTTACCATCATTGAGAGAGAGGACGGCTTAGATGGAGAGACGTGAGTGAACGCCGCCTTGGACCTTGCTCTTGGGTGGTAGGGCGGGACGGCGTGTGCTGGCTCTGAAGCGTGTGTTCCCGGGGGAGAAGGGCGCGGACTGCAGACTGCTGAAACCCTTGCTCTGTGGGCCAGCTTGTCAAGGGAAGGTAGTTGAGAACTGACCAAGTCTTTCACAGAGGTGGCAGCGGCTTCCTGTCATTCTTTCCTCAGACTGACCTTAGCCTGAGCTATGTTTTATGTGTCTCCAAAATTGCTCATTTTATGTAAGTTAGATTTTATTTTGAAAAGTGTTCTTTCGAAATAATCATTTACTGTGAACTAAGATAACGTTCACTAAAGATATTTTAAAGTCCAATTATACACAGTATTGTAAAATTCGAGGCAGAAAAATCTAATGCAGTTATTTTTGACTGGGCTTAGAGTAAAGGTTGAAGTATTAAGTAATATTATCCCATTTATTTCCCTTCCAAGTTGTCTGGACAGCTGTCTGATGTGGGGTTGCAGTGCTACTTAGTCACAGTGTTCCTTATGAATTAAAGTATTGCATTTTCTCCTTTCATGCCAGAATCTTCATGTACATGTTTCTCGCTGGTCTCGGGCTTCTGCTGATTGTTGGCCTTCATCAGCTCCTGGAATCTAGAAAGGTAATTACAGTGAATTACTTTTGCAGCCTGCCTTCGAGTGCTGTCACAGTACTTAAGAGCAACTTAGTTCTTCATGGACTTCTTATAGATGTAAAGCTTTTCTGTACCTTTTAAAAATGCAATGGGGCAGCTCATTTCCAAGTTTCCTCCTTTCTCTCAGGAGCTATTTCCAGCCCACAGTAAATTTTTCCAACTCTTAAAAAAAAGACACCCAAAGGTGAGACCTTGGATATGTGACTTTAGCTTATTGACTTTCAGACACACATGCAATTAGTGTCCTTTGCCTCTTGCACTCTTCAGAGTGACCTTTCTGTCTTACTGTAAGTCTAAATTATGCTAGAATTTTTTTCTCTCAAATTCAGTAAGATTTCATTCTGCTTTTTATATTTGCTTTAGTAATCTTAATATGGGGATAGTAAGCCCCCTAGCTCACCCCTGTGCAACTAGGAATTGAACCTAAGGAGTGCTGAGCTATACCTCTAGCTCTTTTGTATTTATTTTGTATTTATTTTTTGTTTTTTTGAGACAGCCTTTCACTATGTATCTCAGAGTGGTCCTGAACTCACTGAGTAGCCCCGGCTGTCCTCAGACTCACAGTGATACTCCTACGTCAGCCTCCTGAGTGCTGGGATTGCAGGTGCGGGCCTCCTCACCTGACTTCTTTTAAATTTGGAAATAGTCTCAGGGTTCCCAGGCTCGCCTCCAACTTGTGGCCCTGCTCCCTCCTCCTGAGCACTCGGGATTGCGCCACCCTGCCAGCTCACAGTGCTAATTTCTAACTAGCAGACAGGCCCTTTCATTCAGAGAAGAAATAATTTGGCTGCAGTTGGCCCGCTGGTTCAACTTGCAGTTTTGTGACTAGGGTGGTAAAGCAGCAACAGCAGGGCGCCTGCCTTGGCTGTGGTCCCGCGCTGGGCCCTTTGGCATCGCCAGTGCATCTGTGTCCCTCCCTCACACCCCTGCTTCCCCACCTGCGGATGAAGAACCTGGCTTGTCCTGCTCTGTGGGAGAGGGTTACAGCTTGTGTCAAACATAGTCACTAACTGCTTAGAGCCTGCACAGGGGCTGGCCACTTTGGTGTTTGTAACTATCAGTGATTTTCTTTCTTTCTTTCTTTTTTTTTTTGCCTTTTTGAGACAGGGTGTCATTATGCAGTTCAGGCTGGCCTTGAGCTCACATTGTAGCTCAGGAACTCACAGCGATCCTCCTGTCTCAGCCTCCCGAGTGCTGGGATTACAGGAGTGTGCCACCACACTGCCGTCAGCTGTTTTCATCGTAGTTGGACTTCTTGCTATAAATTTATGTATGAGGTGTAATTGCATCCTCAAGTTTGTTTTTCCATGTAAATGAAGCCACATTTTAGTTTCTCTCTGTATCCAGTGTGGACTATAAATAATGGGTTTTGTGTTTTAAATTTCAGAACCAGGCTATAAAAAGCAAGAGTGTTTTTTACATTCGGGTAGTTTTGTTGCCTAATACTATGGGGAGAAAGTTTTAGGTTCTTAGTTTAAAGTTAGATTGTTAGCTTAAATGAGGTTTTATATTTTTATCTGTGCCAACTGTTCAATTATTCCTAGGTTAAGACTGCATATATGCAGCATTTCGGTAATTACCTTCAATTTTATTGACTGGAAACTTACTCTTTGAGGTTTTATTCCCAAAGGGAAAGAAAATCATTGCATAGACATTCTTTTTTTGTCCATCTCTGATACAGTAATCTGTGAATCTTTATATCAAGGATAAAGGTATTTAAGTTCTGAAAATAATAATTTGTGAGGATTTATTGTTCATAATTTATTCTATATTGATACTACTCTTCAGTGAATAAAATGAGTTAGTATGACTTAAAACGAGAAACACAACAGTAAAATACTCAAATTGAGTTTTTTGGTCAGTACTTTAAAATTTTAAAACAATTCCTTTAAAGTATGTGTGTGTGTATTCTCTAGCGCAAGAGACCCATACAGAAAGTTGAGATGGGTACATCGAGTCAGAATGATGTTGACATGAGTTGGATCCCTCAGGAGACCTTGAATCAAATCAGTAAGTAGTCTGACAGACTTGGTGAGTTTTTGTTTCTGGATGAAAATTAAATATGTTAGATTTAGCAAAAAATACTTGGGTCAGTACTGTTCAACTTTCCTCTTTTCCGTTGGATAAGAGGTGGTACAATGACTAGTGTAGACCTTGAAGGTGTATTTTGTTTATAGTGATTTCTGTGCTGTCATGTAGCAGCACTGTACTTTCAGATCTGCAACTGACTTGCAAATGCTTGCGTTCTCTGTTCCTAACCTGTTTCTGTCTCTTTCTTTCCTGTTGCTTCAGTGCAGAGTAGAAGAGGTGAGGCAATTGAATTTTTAATGGTGTTTGCGATTGTTTGTATTGGGCTTTTACATGGCATGTGAACGCTTTACAGCAAGCTTCGTGAGCATTGGGAATACTTTTCTTGTACTGAATTTTACTGGAAAAACTACTGTTTGGAAGAGTAAACCTAAAATATTACCTGATAGTTAACCTAACAAATGCATTTTTTATTGTATAGGCAGTTTATTTGAATACTAATTTTTATAAAGGAATGTAGAAATTTTTTCCCAGTTGGACTTTTTATAAACATTTATTATATAAGAAATATAGCATAATAGTAGAAAATTGAATTGTACAGGTGTACAAAGCTAGGACTCTTTGGTCACTTAAACAGTTCCTACTGGAAAAGTAATATCAATACTTAATTCTTTTACCAGTATTCAAAAAAAAAAAAAAAACTAGTTTAAAAGCCACCAAAGGGGTGACAGAAATATTTTTTTCTCTTCTTTTTTCTTGGTTATCATATATAATCTTGTGCCATGTTTCTTTTTATTTATTTTTTGGTAGCGGGGAATTGAACTCAGGACCTTGCACTTGCCAGGCAGGTGCTGTGCCACTGAGCTGTATCCCTGGTCCTGTCATATAACTCGCATTTTATGGAATTCATGTGTTGCATCCAGCCGTAGTTTTATGCTCAAATTGTTACAACTTTGGCTATTGGGATTCCCTCTGGGACTCTAACTTTCTGATTTTAGAACCGTCTCTTACTTGTTTGCTTCCCAGGATATTCCAGAGTTATTTTACACCTTCTCTGCCCTAAACTTTAGAACCTGTTGTGTCCTTAAAGACTCCTTAAATGATACTAGAAAGTAAAATCTAGACCTTTGAGGCTGGGCATGGTGGCAGGTAGCACACATCTTTAATCTCAGCACTTCTGGCGGCTGAGCGAGGAGGATTGCCTGGGAGTTCATGGTCAGCCTGAACTATAAAGCAGAGCCCCGCCTCAACAAAAAGAGCCATCGGGGGTGTCATTACTGTTGGGCTCACTGTTTCTAAGCCCTTGAGCTAGAAAATACACAAGTTTTCAAAATTATGAGATAAAGTTTTCAACTCTGTCATAGTAATATTCTTAGGTGTGTGTTTATGGTTCCCTCCCTCCCATTCACACTTGACTCCTGAGAGCAGCGGGTCTCGGACTTGAGTGTTCCTGGGAATGAGCTGAGAGCTAGGTGAGCGCGGGCTCTGGGCCCCAGCTCTGGAGTTTCCTGCTGAGTAGACCCAGGGTGGGACCCGAGAGTAGGAGCTCTAAGTTCTCTGCGGTAAGATGCTGCTGGCCTGACCGCATGTGAGAGCTATCGTGGCCGAAGATGCTTTGCTTAAGAGGATGTCCAGTGAGCCAGATTACGGATGACTCAGGAGAAACGGCCATCCCCCTCAGAGCTGGGAGGTGGAGCTGACCTGTGGGAGGACAGAATAAAGGGAACCAACCGTGAGAACATTTGAAGAGCCAGGAGCAGGGAGAGTGGGAGCAGACGTGCTGGGCTGCTGTCTCCCCTCTCCTCTGTCGCGGTGTCTGGTGCACTGCTGAGCAGGTCTTTTCTGATAGTTTGCATTTCAGGCTGGTTCCACTTCACCCAAGTGCTGTAACTATAGAGTGACGGATGAGCTGATCTTCACAGGAAAGTATAGGAACTTCGCTTAATAATAGTGTTTTATGGAAACTGTAGAATGTCGCTTTAATTACACTTTCTTACCAAGGGGTCAGTTAGAAAACTTGTGATTCAAGTATCACTAATTTTTTTTTTTTTTTTTTTTTTTGTCTTTTTGAGACAGGGTCTCGCTATGCAGTTCAGGCTGGCCTTGAACTCACTTTATGGCCCAGGCTGGTCTCAAACTCGCAACAATCCTCCTGCCTCAGCCTCCCGAGTGCTGGGATTACATGCGTGCACCACTATGCCCGGCAGTATCACTAATTTTTAAGAAATTCATCTAAAAATTATTTGCCCTGTGCCTATGGGTGAGATGAGAAATTAGACTGAAGAAGGGACAAAGGCTGCTAACATTTTGCTCTTATCTTTTAAAAAAAAAAATCATTGCTGTAAATGACAATTGTACTGTAATTTGGTGAGTTTTAAATGACATCTTTTAAATGGGAAAGGTAGGCATTTTCAAGTCTGCCTTATTCCATATCATTGAGGGAGTGACCTGAATTTTACAGTTACAGGGATTTTTTTCATACAGTGTTAAGTTTCACTCTTGAAAGTTAAAATATTTTCACCTTTGAAGTTTAAAAAAAATTTTAGGTGTATTTTGGAGGAGTAGTAAATGGGAAATCGTTTTTATAGTTACGAACATATACTTTGGTGATTGCTGTTTGTTTGAATAAGATGCTTCCTCCTGTGGTTTTAAGCTATTTGGGGCCATTTTCTCAAAAGCTGAGTGACTCCAAAATGCCCTTACTGTTTCTCACCTGTCTGCTGCTTCCCTTTGATGTGCCAGACACCAAGCAGAGCAGGAGGTCGGGAGACAGACTGTGGGGAGGGAAGCGGAGGGCTGCCCTGCCGCCGGAGTTCACGCCTGTGCTGGGGCGGGCGTTGAAGGCCGTTTCCGTGCAGTCCCGTAATCAAAGCTGACGCAGGTGTTGGAAGTTACTGGAAGTGAATAATCACCGACTCACGTCTGTATTCACAGGAGTTGTGCACGCAGGGTTATATTCAGGTATCAATTATTTTAAGAAGTTCCTTGGCAGTTGGTCAGCTCTGCAAGGGCAGTAGTTCCTAGCTGCTTTTTGAAAGGTCTGATAAAAGTTGTAGGCTTTCTTCATGGAGAAAATGCATCTATGTTTAAAACTCAGTTTTAGGCAAGGGAAGAGCTCCCCAAATCTGTCCATTGCTCGCCTGTTTAATATACTAAGGGCAGTTTTCATGTGGGTTGAAGATTCGGTCCTTAACACTTAAACAGATTTAAGATGATTTTTAGTCTTTAAATGTTAATCCCCTACACCCCCTGGGGATTAAATTAATGCATGGCCTTCCTTGAACATTTGAGGAAAGCATTCTAACAACTGAGCTACACCCTCACCCTTTGTAGTTTTTTTTTTGGAGACAAGGTAAGTTTCCCTGGCTGTCCTTGCGATCCTCCTGCCTCAGCCTCCCAAGTAGCTGGGTTTATACGCATGCACTGTCATCCCCAGCAGTTCTTAGGTATTCTTGATGAACATTTACTATAAAATTGTGAAGTACAGGAACAAGTTTTCTTTTAAGATACGAGTGCTGTCTGTGTCCTGTAGGAATTACCTTTTAGTTCTGTCCCTCGCGCTGTGACAGAACATCTGACACCCTCAATTTAAGGAGGAGAGGTTAATCTGGGTCATGTTTCGGCCCTGGTCAGCTGGCTCGAAGGCAGGACGGCCCGGCAGCGGGCCTGGCAGACAGGAAGCAGAGAGGAGGGAGGTGCTGCGGAGCCCTTCCAGGCTGTGCCGAGACCTGGCTCCTGACCAGCCTCGCCTGCACACAGCCAGCCCGCCGGGCTGCCCCAAGCCAGTCCGCTGCCGGAAACCCCGCCTGCATGACGCTTTGGGGACACCTAGATTTAAGCTGTAACAGTGATCTAGTAATTTTGTGAGAGAAAGGATCTTTTAGGCAGATTTTTTTTTTCTCTTCCCTAAAATGTTTATAAATAAGCCCCGTACTTGGGTGAAAGTATCTTCTTCTAGCTTTTCACTTTTTCTTAACTGGACAAATGGTTGGGGAGGTGTGGGAAGGCTCTCACCACGTTGCCCAGGTTACGATGAACTTGCTTAAATGACCCTCCTTCCTCAGCCTCCTGATCCCTGGGGCCACAGGCGCACTCCGCTGCGCCCAGGCGCACGCGTTGGTGATTTTTATTTACAGGGTATTCTGTGGTGAGCTGCTCTTAAACTTGGTGGGTAAAGTTCCGTGGAAAGTAAAAATAATAACGGCCAGAGAGAAGATAGGTCCAGCCTTTCGCTTTCCTCCTGTCAGTAAACAGACATAAATAGAAGACCCAGAACACACATTCATGCTCTGTTAAGTAAGCCCTGTCTGAGTGTCACTTAGGAGGGAAGGGGGAGATGGGGAAAGGTGATGCTGTGTGCGTGGGGTGCGCTCAGCCCTGTGGCGCTGTTCCTTTTACTCGGTTGCTGTTCCAGGTAGGTTTAGTGGTGCGGACCGCACGGCCACCTTCAGAGGTGGAATCGGTCTTCACTAACCGGGAATGTGTTTGGGCTGCAAATGTCAGCCCTCTGAAACTGTTCTCAGGTGTTTCCTTCTGCATGTGTGGTCATCTTAAATGGGAGAATTACAGATTGCGTGTGGTGTCTGCAGCAGCACATTGACCGGGTCGGATGTCTTTCCAACCCTGGGCACGGAAGCTTCCTTTCACCGGCGGTTACCTGTGAGGGGCTGCATTCAAGGTGATCTGTGAAACCTGTAGCCAGAGAAGAGGCCTCGCTACTAGATGTTGGTGGTTCTTGGTGCAAGCATGTGTGTGCGTGTGTGTGTGTGTGTACACGTGTGCGTGCACGCATGCGCCTTTCCATTTTCATGGTGAGATGAGGAAGTGCCTTTCGAGTCCAGTACGGTCAGGAGCTCAAAGTGTCCTCTTCTCTTGCAGACAAAGCCTCTCCGAGGAGGGTGCCCCGGAAGCGGGCGCAGAAGCGGTCGGTGGGATCTGACGAGTAAACGTGCCCTTGTGCAGCTGCTGTCTGTGCTTGCCCTGCCCTCGTGTTTCGGCCTGACGGGATTAGAGCAGAGACGCACGGCACCATAGGAGGCACCTGCTACTTACGCGTGGACTGAGCAATGCGAGTGTGGGATAACATGGCTGAAAATGCACTGCATTCATTTTTCTAAAGTAACGAATTTGGTTTTTTTTTAAACCATTAAAATCTATGTGTGTGCGTGTGTATGCGTGTGAGCAGTCGGTCTTACCAGAATCACTGTTGAACTACCTGAATCATGCCTTTAGAATACTGAATGCAAGCCATTGTCTCTTCTTTATGTCCTCTGATTTTTACCCCCGGTATGATTATAGGTGCCCCGCTTGCACTGTCTTAAGGCAACAACTTGTTTCCTCCTTACAGTTGCTCAGATCCCACCTAATGGCACAAATTAGCATTATTTTTCAGTGCTTTTTTCCAACTAGTATTCTAAAGGCATAGGCAGGAGTGGCTGCTTTTGTAGCAATAGAATTGTTTTGGTATTTTTGCTGCTGTTAAATGCGCACCTTCAAAAAATTTCCCAAATGGACTCAAGGAATTTGGGGATATTGCTAGCAACAAAATTATAAAACTTGAAAATTCTGCTGACTTTGATATATAAATCCCAACCCTACCCGCTTCTATCTGACAAAGAAAATGGTACCTTTGTGCGAACTGAGTTGTGTTGTCCATTGCTGTTCGGGCCCAGGGAGGGCTCTGGAACGATCTTGGACTTACCCGGGGTGGGGTTTCGTTCGGAAAAGAACTTGGTTGTCACGTGTAGAAGCATCCTTTCCTAGGAAAAGTCACCTTGGTCTGTGACCAGGCAGAGCACACTTTAGGGACAGAGTGAGATTTCAGCTAATGGTAATCTGCACAAATAGCAATTGGAAATTTTAAAAGTTAAATTCTTGTCTAATCTTTTGAGTTTCGGTGGTTGACATACTTTTTTTTGGTTAATGTGGAACATTCTAAAAAATGAAGCTGTTAAAGACCTCAGGACCAAAATGATAAATTGTGTCTCACAAAACCCTCTTAGAGGGTTATTCTTGCGTGTAGTAAATTGTGCTGGCATCACTGTCGGACTGGGTGAAGGGCAAGGTGAATTTTGTATGAAGGATTAAGCGCCTCCCCCTCTGTCCTGAAGCCCGTGGGTATTTTTTAAGAAAGTGGTAAGTGAGATTTACTTAAAGAGTGACTCTTTAATTCCCAGTTTCTTTTCCTTCTCATTTGATAAAATCTGCTGCCTCTACGCACATCCGCACACACAGAAGGAAGACAGCAGCAAAACAAAATACACAAGCAGAAATGTCACACTGTGTGTGAGTACTGAGAGGGATCACCCAAAACCAGGGTATCGTGTAATCCTGAGTCACTGCGAGCGGGCCCGAGGTGTCGCCACCTGCCCTGGTGTCGCCGCGCTGTGAGCTTTCCGTCCCTGTAACGTGAAGCGTCGAGCTCTTAGTCGGGGTGTGTGTTCAGTAGTTGATTTGGAAACTCTGTGAAGTCTCGGTAGCCGCATGGCTTTTGGTTTAGTGTAACGCAGGAGGCCCTTCTCGTTCTCAAGGAACATGCTTTTGTGACTGTAAGTTCCTGAAACTCCTAGAACCCCATGCAGCCCGGCTCACAGACCGACTGCAGGGCCTCTGCTTCTCAGCGGCGCTTCCAGCGCTGAGGCGAGGCTGGGGCTGCTGTTGTCGCATTTCTGTCTTAGCATACGTGGGCAGCACAGGGCGCGGATGTCGGCAGGTGCCAGGGCCTGCCGCAGTGGCCGCGGGCATTGAGCAGGAACTGCCTCCGTAACGAATGGAACCCACTCCACACACGGTTCACTCAGGCGCACTTGAGAAGTGGCCTGCTGTCAGCATCTCCTGGCCGTGTAAACGCTCGGCTCGCTCTCCTTGGCTAACGTGCTCGTGGGCAGCACCGACCCCGGCCTCGGAAGTCCCTGCGTGGCTGGGCCTCAGCCCAGAGGGAGCGGGAGGCTCCAGGTGGTGCCAGGCCGCCGCCGCCTCTGAGGACGGCGTCCACCACGGGCCCGTGCGGCCTCGGCGCCGCTCACGCCCCGCCAGAGGTGGCGGCCTAGGGATGGGGCTGAAGTCAAAACGGGAGGAAAGGCAGCAATGTGGTGTTCCGGTTTGCATCTTCAGTGGCTTCAGAAGCTGCAGCCTTGAAAGACAGAAAAGCCATATGTAGACTTCAAGGAACTATTAAGAGCTACTGCCTTAAATATGTATTTGTAGCACATCAGCCTAAAATTGTGTTGTGGCTCAGTTGGGGAGAAATAAATGGTGGTAATGTCACATCGAAACCTTCATTTAATGACTTCTTTTTTTGAGACAGGGTCTCACTGCCTTTGAGCTCACTATGTACCCCAGGCCCGCCTTAAACTCCCAGCAGTCCTCCTGCCTCTGCCTCCCATGTGCTGGGAGGCCCGGCACTGACTTGGTTGCTTTGGAGTTACGATAGTGAATGGAAGCATGTGCAAGGCTCCTAGATGTTAATCCGCCCGTATGAAGGCAGATGCGCGTGGTTTTGTGCTCTGGCCCGAGGGCTGCGTGTGTGACCGCGCTGTGCCAGGTGGCTGGCGGGGGCGGCAGCAGTCACCTCCGAGTCCGCAGCTTTCCTCACCAACATGTTGATAGCGGCACCCTTGATTTTCTGATTGTGATTTTGTTCCAAAATGAGGCCTTCGTGTGTATTTAAGAACATTCCCAGAGGCCCTGCGGGCCTCCCATGGTTCCAGCTGATGTCGCTGTGGAGCTGAGGGCCGTGCTTTGCCGCGAGTTCGGAAGTGACACCTCCGGGTCTGCAGCGGGGGAGGCCGCCTGCAGACAGTGGCTGCGGGCAGGTGCGCTTGCCGTGCGGGCGTCCGCGCCCTGGGACAGGACGGTGACTCGCACGCGGCCGCAGACGTCTGAGAGTAACTTCTTAGGACGCACAGACTGGGGTGCGGGCCCAGCTTGGGACCAGCACATCGCCAAGGGCTGGGGCGTGGGGACGTGGTCGCAGTCCGCGCTGTGCCCTGCCCGGCAGCTCACCGCAGAGGCGCCCACGTGCCCGCTTGGGAGGGGCCGAGGCGGCCAGCCGTCCTAAGGTGATCTGCCACGCAGTGCGGCTTCGGAGCTGCCGCCTCCCTGTACGGTGAAAGGTGGCAGCTTTGTGAAGCCAAGCACTGGGACAGCTCATGAGCGCCGGCATCCCAGACCGGCCACCGCAAGGGCAGCCCCAGCCCTGCACCCGCATCCCTCGCCGCCCTGGCCACCGCGGCCGCTGACCAGGCTGCCCGCAGGCTTGTGACCTCGCTTTCACGGCAGCCCGCCTGTCCGCAGTGCCCTGTCCAATCTGTTGACACCTGTTTAATGCCTCCCTGACGGGCAGTGTCCGCAAGGCAGGGTGGCGGGGCTTGCAGCTGTGGAGGGTGAGACCCGCTGCCTGTCCGGCCGCGGGCAGCGTCTGCGTGCTCCGTGCCAGATGCACTGGGTCTGGGCTCGGGCGAAGCTCCCAACCTTCCCATTCCACTTTGGATTTGCCTTCGGCACAGTAAGACATTGAAGGAAAGCCCCGTGAACCTGAGAAACGTGAAGGCTGCTTCTTTCTCTACAGAACTGCGTACTGGGCCCAGGGACTCAGGCCAGGCAAGCGCTGTTCCCCGGCGCTGCACCCCAGCCCTTTGTTATTTTTTGACATAGGGTCTTGCTGAGTTGCTCAGACTCAAGCTTGGAATCCTCCTGCTTCAGCCTTGTGAGGAGCTGCGATTCCAAGCATGCACACCACCCCCAGCTCCCATTTAAAGTCTAAAAATGAGATCCTGCCTTGCTTGATTGCCCCGCTGTTCCTCGCGCAGCCTGCCGTAAGGTGCCAGTCTGTCTCCTTGGTGACGGGTGTGTCGCGTTGGGCCGTGAGCCCTGAGCCTTTCCTGGCTCGCAGTCCCTGGCAGCCTGTAGCTGAGCGTTGAAGGAGGGCTCCGGGACACGCGGCGGCTTCCACGTGCTGTCCCTGCGTGGCTGGCGCGGCTCCTAAGCGTCCTGCTGCCAGCCCAGGTGCGGCCGCTCCGCCTGCGGACGAGGTGGCATCATGTGGTCAGGGGCTGTGGTCGCGGGCGGGGCCGCAGTGGCTGCCCTGCGGCCGTTCCCGGTGAATGGAGAGCCTCTCACAGCCTCTGACGGTGGTCCCCGAGCCTGCCAGGGCCTGAGTGCTCCCTCTAGAGCTCACTGCTCGGCGTTGCAGCCCAGGCCTCTGCTCCCAGGCCCCCATGGCAGGCGCGAGGCCCCCTCCTAGCTGGCTCCAGTCCTGCGCTGGGCACTTCCAGCCCCGCTCCTGGGCCGGGCGCACGCCTCCTGTGCCCTGTGAGGACAGACGCCTCGTGGGGCCCAGGCTGGGGAGTGATAACGACGTCCTGCCGGATACCCGGACTGAGCGTGTTCCTCCTTGGCTAACGGGTGACGAGCGTGGGGCCGGAGCTAGGTGTGGTAGCACAGTCCTGTGATCCCAGCGGTCTGGGAGGCTGAGGCAGGAGGATTGCAAGTTCAATCCCAGCCTGGGCAGTGTAGCAAGACATGGTCTCAAAAAGTGAGGGAGGGGCCGGCTGTGGTGTTGCTCTTATAACCCCAGCACATGGCTGAGGCAGGAGGGTCTCCAGGAGTTTAGGCCAGCCCGAACTCCATAGAAGGACCTTGAGAAACCGAGTAAGACGCAGCAACAGTAATAGAAGGGCTGGGGATGTAGTGCAGTGTGGAGGTCTTGGGTTCAAACCCAGAGCTGCACCACAGGGCTTGGGTGTGGAGGTGTGGCCGGGTGGCAGCACGCGTCCCTGGCAGGCACCAGGCCCTGGCTTTGGCTCTGGCATTGGGGAACGGCTGGAGTCAGGCGGGCGCTTGTGCTGGGCCGGGCTGCCGGGTTTCACAGCGAGCGGGGCAGCGAGGCCTGCGGGACCCGTGTGTCCCTGTGGCACGCCGGTCCTCGGGGCCTGGGCGGGCTGCGTGTCTTTGACGCCCTTGGTGCGCAGGACACCTGCACGCGGCCCCTGGAATCCCTTTCCGCCGGGGTTTTTCTGGGCACTGCCCGAGGCCCAGTCACGGAGCACGGAGCACAGCTGGCAGCAGGGCCCCGGCTCACCTGGGTGCCCCTCCCCGCCTGTGAGCGTGCGGCCAGGCCCGAGCCCCCTCCACGGCCAGCCTGTCTCCCCTGCCGCTGCCGCCCTCGCTGGAGCTCCCGCCCGGCCTGCATCGTCCTGTCGTCCCTGCTGGCTCGAGCAGCCCCGAGGGTCTGCCTCACAGGATTTAGGTTTCCGTTCTCCCACTTCAGAATCTGGCAACATAGAGAACTTGGAAGTAATCTGAATGTATTCAGTTTGGCCAGAATACTTTGGTTCAAAAATCTTTCCTAACTGCTGCAAGAGGTCGCCAGGTATGGTAGCACACAGCTGTAATCACAGCACTTGGGAGGCAGAGACAGGAAGATCACCAGGAGTTCGAGGCCAGCCTGAGCTACATAATGAAACCCTGTCTAAAAAGAACCAAAAGGGAAAAAAAAAAAAAGGTCTTGGATTGGCTTCGGGGGGTGGGGGGAGGCATAATTGGGGATGGAACCCAGGGCCTCCAAACTGAGCTACATCCCCAGCTATTTTTTTGTTTGTTTGTTTTTCTCTGGTACGGGAAACCGAACTCACGACC